TGCAATATATTGTTAAATTTTGAAACACAGACAGCCAAGACAGTATTGGAGGGGTCAGCAGATTAAAATGTATTCATTAATCTTTGGTAAATTTCTTTTTTTCAAAAATCAAAAAGAATCTTTTCTGTTTCGAGTAAACGTTTCTCTGCATTTTATACAACATCCTCACCTAGTGGAGATAATAGGAAAAGACACACTTTCAAGAACTGCATCAATTAAACATACATAAGATAAGATCACTTTATTGGCCCTATACAATTTCTTGTATTAGGAATTTGTCTTTTTCGCATGCCCCATCTCGTTCTCCATGAGACACAGACAGGGACGAGACACATACATGAGTCCTGTATCAGGGTTAATGCGCTTCTTTATTTGTTTTTGTGTTTTTTACTTAATAATCTTGAAATACTCAGGTTTCAGTTAATTATAGTATGCATTTCACATTGCATCAAATTCTGGTTAAGATATTTCAACACACAACCACTACAAATGCTTACCAACACAATCCGTTTTTTTACTGCCTTATCCAATCCAGGGTCAGGGGAGCCAGGACCTATCTCAGCAAGCAATGGGCATAAGGCAGGGGCTTACAGTACTTGTGTTGTTAAGTTCTCCTTAAATAAACAAAGGTTGTACAGGTGGACTATCTGTCTACACCATGCTGCCTGGTACATTTTTCACTACAGCTGAGTGGCAGGAAACATCCATAGAATAAGGCAGGTGTTCCCATTTGCTTCTGCATCTTATCTACAGAGCTCTCCTGTCTTCGACGACGACAGTTCCCTGAAAGGAACAAGAGGAATTGTCATGCTCAGCTACCCCCGAGTGTGCCAGCTTCCTGGGAGATGAATGGGAGTTCAGTGATTTACTCTAAGTGCAGTTTATAAAATAAAAACAGAAAAAAAGGCAGAATGACAACCAGTTTCAATCATGGCAGCAGTACCTCATGTTCATTTTCCCCAAAATGTTTTAAAAAGCTTGATTGCACCCCAATGGCCACAAATTAGGATCATGTTCTTCTGACGATCCTGCATGTCAGGAAATGTTAAAAAGGAGGAGCCAACTGCATACCCCAGTGAGGCTGGGCAGTTGGACTAGAACATCCATAGAACATCCATCCAAGACAAGACAAGAAGACAAACCACCTGCACAAAGGTTTTTAAATTGCTGTCCCTTCTGAAGAAAATTATTAACTGATTTCTCCTTGTTACATTTTAAGCTTTTCTCGGTTTGAGTACATGAACTACCTTAACTAATGAACATCTTAATTGAAACCTGTGCCCTTTACTAGGCCAACAATATCAGCGCTCAGTAAAAGCGTATTTCATAGACAAGGTTTTCTAGGCTCTGTAAATATGCAGAAATCTCATCACCTCTAGCATCACCAATAAAGGTTTTAAAAATAATCTGTTTACTGACAAATATATCCTCCTCTTTAAAACACCCCACCTCCATTACCGTATATAAAGAAAGGTAAATCAATCTCCACATCCAAACTCTGATACTACTTTATCATTTGATACTTGTTACACTCGACACTGAAATACATGCAGTGCAGGTGATCTTCTTTTACATCAAAGTCACTCCCCCACAACTATCTCATATTACACAGACCTTGTGCCACAGCAAGTCACTGCTACTTTTTAGTGCCCGTTTATAGCGGTGAACAACCAGCAGTTACTGTGAAATAGAATTGAACTTAATTTACGAATGTAATGCCACTGCTTGGAAGCAGCACCAGGGGGCATAGTATGCTTACTTCAAATGCCAACTGCTCGGCATAGCGAGCCGTTGAAAATGAAGTCCAAAGGGGAAAAATTAACCTTTATTATCATCATTAGTAGCAGTAGTTGTAATTATTACAATAATGAATATACTCTTGGCTTATTCACTGTATAATGCAGTTTGTGTGCAAATTATAAAAGGGATGAACGATGAGTCTTTGTTTTGAAAAATGGAACATGATTACATACGATGTTATAACTTAACGTCTGTTGTTAATGTGATAAATTATAGGCGGTAATACTTATGATTATCATACTGTATAAGTATATCATAATATTTATTTAGGTTAACCTAAAGAGTTGTCATAATCACTTCTCTGAGGAAAAGTATTCCAGAATAGTGAAAAGTAGAATTAATACATGCGTTTCGTATTTCTAGCCACTAGGTGACTCTTGAATCCTGTATAATTCTTTTTCTGGATGTTTTCAATATTTCACATCTGAGATTTACCGCGATAACCGGGAGAATCACATTAATGTCAATACCGAAACAGCGTGAGAATTATGATTTGGAAAACTGCATTGAGGAGATTGAGTAGTTAGACCGAGGTGATAGATGAGGTAGAAACTAACCAATACGGCGTATAACCGGCTGTTGTCATAATTATAGTATATAATCTAATCTGCCTACTGATTTAATCTATTAAAATATAATCATAATGATTTCTGCTATTTACATTAAATTAATTAAAGAATAAAAGTTATTTCAAAGTATATTTATGTTTATATTAAACATATCAATTAGGGTTGTCTTCTTTACTTACTAACACTTGGGATACAAATATTAATAATAATGGATTCTTAGGATCTCGGTAATCAAATAAAATAAAAGATTAATGTCGTCGTCTACTAGTCAATTCAAGTTTGTTTTCTCTGAAACGAAAAACAAGAAGCCAGAGAGACCCCTAGAAATCCGCGGTTTGCTCTCGCTAGAGAAACTCTAGAAAGCAATTATTGGAAGAAAGAATTTAATTGCTATTTGGATCTTTAAGACTTTGGATTTCTCCACAGTATGCAGAAAAGCAAACCCTGGGAATTTTTTTAATTGTTTATCTTTGTGGCTACGCACTTATTCAAATTATAAACTTGCCCTCTAGCTAAAAAAGAAACTTGTCTGAATTTCAGAATAGCTCTTGTACAAATATAAAACAAACGAATGAAAATAACTTTTAAATGTTATATTATTGAATGAAGGGTACTTAATGTTTTGTTTTAATATGCTATATTTGGAGAAACGTTAAAGTGAAGAATAGTAAAAATATAACTGTAATTATTGTAATGTAAAATAATATGATGGATTTACACAGAAAAAATGTAATAGATTTTGTAGCAGCCTCAACTAGAAAGACAACTGGAAATCAACTGGAAGACGACGTTCAACTGTTTTCAATCGAAACGTTGTATTTCAGGTTGGCAACACGTTCTCTACTGTATGAAAATATGCATGGTTGATGTAGCACGCACGTAAACGAACGTGAACCATACTCTGTAGCATAAAATTATTCTAAAATAAGGTTGATACACAGAAATATTATACTCAGAAGTATTATTAATCAAATTAACATTCGAAAAATGTAGTTAATGTTTACTGATACATTTTTCTGATATATTTTCTAATATAGCTTATGTATAAAGGTCCATCTACAGAGGTTATGTAACAGCAACGTTTTAAAAATGTGTCATTATATAAGTAAAATAATGAAAAAATAATACTCTTTAAAGCTTCGAAGAACTCTAATTTTAACCTGTTTTCTCTTTATATTTGCGATTTATCTTTCACAGCCTGTGCGGTAAACTGTGGTTAGCGAAACAAGAATTTAACATTTAGTCATGAAGTTGGAGAGCGTAAAATTAAAAACCATTAAAGGTACTTTATGGAAATTCTGTTTTCTTTACTGTTCGATGTCCCATGGTTCATTTCCTGAATTTTTTCAAACGCCAACATGAGCATATTCCATACTAAAATATTTTTTACATCTCCTTAAAATATTAACAGAGGTAAAACCAGAAATCGGGAGGCCCTGCGCTTTTTTTGAGGTATGGGTCACCTTTCTGTTATAAGATGACAAGTTGTATATTGGTAATTACAGTAAGGAATATTAAAACGAAAGCTCTGTCACGTTCTTTGTGCGCAGAAATTACTGAAATAATTGCCTCAGAATAATTAGAAATACACATGAACGCAATGCAGATGAAAACGTTAACAAAGCTGTTACAACCGCCAATAGCTTTCAAAGTAATTTCTTGTAAATGCATACAGTACCGAACACAGACTAAGCATAAAATGCATTACGAGGGCGAACTTTCGAAGTGGTAAATCTGAGAAAAACATTTTCTTGCATTTAAAATATTCATATAAAACGAATTGTAATGTATATAAGCATAATTATATATATTATGACACGATTATGTTTCTAGATAAAGATGTGTATGAAGTGAAATGTGGTGAAACAAAATCGTGAAATGCAACATAAAACGATACAAACATCTCCAGCTTTTAGCCTAAGCAGAACATTTTGCATGTTTTGTATTAAAATTCAAAATATTTCACATTGGTGAGTTACGTTAGGAAATGAAAGAATTTTTAGAAATTATGACCGGAAATTCCTCGAAATATTGCCACATCTTTTCAAAATATGTCATTAATACCTTTTGGGGCATCACTTTTAAGAAGATACTTCACGTTTTTTTTAATAATGTATCAATCGTTTCCAACAACTTCTGCGTTTCCGCAAATTCGATACATATGATCAACGCGTTTAACTGTAGTGATTGTTGGAGTGCACATTTACAATGAACATAAAATGTGTAAAAGTAAAATTACGTCGAGCCGTGCCTTTTTGTTTTAGAAAAAAAGGGAAAACGTTTCAAAATTCAGATATTAGGGCTACTCTTACTGCTAAGAGATATATGTGCATACACTTGCCATTAAACATCATCCGGCATATTTTTATTCAGATTAATATACTTACTTTGCCTGCGATCATTGGTTACAAAAGTAAATATATCTTTTTTTGTCAAATCTTAAAACAATGAATTCTATAGTATGCTGCATCATTAATAGCAGTACAATAAGACCTTCATAGAGTTCTGCTTTGTTCAAGTGACGTGTATGTAAAGTGTCTGAGTCGGTGCGCCAATCACAGTGCACCCTCAGTCAATTTTATCCAATGGGAGATATGAACATGCAGGTGGCAGTGTGGTTATCAGTGCATCCCGCTCTGTTCTGATCTCAGCTTGAGTCAATTTCACAGGAAAGTCGACCCTGATGCTAACTATCAAAAGCACTAAAAAACATCATCTGATCTTCTGACTTCCAAGTGGATATTCATTCTGGACAGATGCGACAAAGTGACTGTCTGAAATCAAAGACCGACTTCTTTGATAGCGGCTTCGACCTCAGAAGTTACTTCGCAGCGAAACTTTTAACTCTTGTGTCTGAACTCAGAAACTGAAACTGACAACATCTCCAAGACACTGAACTGCAGGGTCTGAAATCAACTTCAAAAGCCCCTCCGGTACAGGTCTTGTAATTGTTGTAAAGCCTGGGGGCTTTTGGTTGTTGATGATCACAAATGTTAGCGGTGGGGCAGATGGATACTAATCGCCAGAGTGCTTTCGTCCTGGGCAGTACACCGCTGGCAGCACTTCATAACATGGCTGAAATGAAGACATCTTTATTCCCTTATGCTTTGCAGAATCCCTCAGGTTTCAAGGCACCTTCGCTAACAAGTTTGAACACTCAGATCCCTTTGGGGACGCCACATGGAATTAGTGATATCTTGGGCAGACCGATAACTACAGCCGGAAATCTCCTTTCTGGACTCCCAAGGATAAATGGACTTGCCACTTCAGCAGGAATGTACTTTAACCCGGCTGCTGTTTCCCGATATCCAAAGCCTCTGACGGAACTCCCGGGGAGAGCTCCAATATTTTGGCCTGGTGTTATGCAGGGATCGCCCTGGAGAGACCCGCGAGTCCCATGTCCGGGTAAGTTTCTTCTATGTGTTGTATATATGCAATTTCTGGTGACTGTGACTTTCAAAGGGGAAATCAACTTTTAATTAAAGCAGAATGCACAGCATGCTAAGAATAATATTACTGAGCATCTTTTTAAATAACATGGATAGCTAAAAGAGAAAGCATACATTTAAACATTGGAGGCATTTTTAGATGGAACCAGTTTTTGGAAAAGGGAGACTATACTTTTTTGGAAGATTTTAAAACGACAGAGATTTTAAAACAAAATAATTTCTTTTATATGAATGGATTTTTGCAAATATGTTTTGAAAAAGCACCATCTTGTATTTGAAAGAAAAACAACATTAAAAAGTATAATTCTTCTGTTAGAGTTTAGTTAATGTTTTTTCCAAGTTGTCTTTTCTATGGTTACACTGCTGTTAAACCACTCGTGTTTTAAACGTTTTTTCTTTTGTTTTCCTTAACTTTAAGAGTTTTACTGTTAGGTTAAATCAAAGGTGTATGTGTGCCTTCATTTAACAAGTGTATATTAACTCGCCTTTTATATTTATTTTAGCGCAAACTAACATGGTTCTTGATAAAGACGGAAAGAAGAAACATTCTAGACCTACATTTTCAGGACAACAAATTTTTGCATTGGAGAAAACGTTTGAACAGACAAAATACTTGGCAGGACCCGAGAGAGCTCGCTTAGCTTATTCCCTGGGTATGACGGAGAGTCAAGTGAAGGTAAGCATGGATTCATTTTCACCGTGGTTTAACTTTATAAATGTATAACACATTGAAAAGGATTGAAAGCAAGATAGCCATTCCGTCACCAGTGCGAAGATCGACGTTATAAACCAACTTATGATTTTCAAAATGTTCTGAATTACCAAAAAATATATATATTGTTGTTATCAGAATATAAGCGGAAGACTGCACTAGTGGGAATTGGAAAGAAAAATAAAACTTTCCGTTCAGGCATAGCTAAATTTACTGTGTGATATGTGAAGACAGCCGTAAATGCACATAAAAAAGCTGAACTGCTTTCACAATGAGTGAAAATCTAAGTTTCTATTAAAAAAACGTACAACAATCAGCAACCTAATAATAATAATACTTTATTCGTCTTAATTGTTAATAAACACGTATTTGCAATAGAAACAAATAATTGAAATGAAAGAGGTAGAAGTAACACGTACTGTATGTTCCTTTTTATAGGTTTAACACAGTTTCTTAAATTTCAACAGGTATGGTTTCAAAACAGAAGAACCAAATGGAGGAAGAGACACGCGGCGGAAATGGCATCAGCCAAAAAGAAACACGATTCAGAAACAGAAAAGTTGAAGGAAAGTTCGGACAATGAGGATGATGACGAATATAATAAACCTCTGGACCCAAATTCTGATGACGAAAAAATAACGAGACTGCTGAAAAAACACAAAGCCACGAATTTAGGTCTTATAAGCCCCTGCAGTAACAGTTCGGACACGTTGTGATGACACATTATGTACAAAGACTTTCAAATATTCCAATACGCTTTTAAAGCTGATTTAACCAGGGTATACAATGTTTAAAAACGAGTCGAGAAATGCAACTTGGTGTTGTAAGTGATAAGTGTTGTACAGACGATAATGTATGTGAGATGTATATATTTTTTACTAAGTTATGTACTTAACGGTATACAGAACATGGAATGCAACTTTTTTTTTGTTCAGGCGTTTTCAAAATCTTCACTTTTTTTGTTTTACAGAATCGTGGCACCTAACAATCAGTTTCATATATATATAATTCCTGTTCTGTATAGGTTTAAATCCATCAATCTGGTATATGTAAAAAGTGCAAATGTTGTTTATTATAATGTAAAAAAAAAACTTTAATTTTCTCCACAACAACAGATTTTTACCATTTGAAGGAATTTATGTTTTTACCTCATTAAACAAAATAGAAAAATTGGAAAATTCTTTTATGTTGAAAAAAAGATAATATTGATTCCACAAGAGTTGGAAAACACTTTGTATTATCAATAAATTATTTAACAACATTTTGCTTTAAAATATCTTATTTTGATGTTTTATCCGTGTAATTCTTAAGTAATCACCTCTATTTAATAGCAGCACATTACATATATATTTTAATATTCTTATTAAAAAATCTTGTTATACATGGGGTAACCTCTTCGCGTTCGAAATGTATCCGAGGTATTTGGAATCCTTAACATATTGTTACTGTGAGAATGGAATAAGATGAGTTATTTGAATTTAATGTTAGCAATGAACTCTTTCAATTCCTTATGATATATATTAAACCGAAAAGGACTTGTGCAATATGCACAATGGTTTTACACAAAACTGTAAAAAGGTGGTCATTTTCAATTGTATTTTCAAGTGGTAATCATGAATGGAATCTTTGGGCTTTTCTTGACGTTTCAAAATCAAATTACAGATACAATAAACAAGATCAGTTTAATAGAAGAACTTCAATAGGTTTTGTTACGGTAATTCGTCTTCCAATTTTTTAGAGACATATATTGAAATGTCTTTTAATAGGTTGAGATTCCCTTGAATTTATTTTCTTCCTTCACGCGGAAACACCCACAAATTCAATCCTAACGGTTGAAATCACCCGCACAACCTATTAATAATTATAATTCCTATATTTTAAAAGCAGAAATTGCAGAGGTCGTAAGAACTCCAATCAAATGCAGCTCGAAAAAAGGACGTCCAAAAATAGAGAAATGATTAAATTACTGTTCCATTAGGTTGTGGCGTTAAGATTAAATCACACATATAAATCCATGTATATCGATTTTAAGTAATATGCATGTCTCAGAAAGATATCCGCCTCCCTTTATAAATTATTTAATAATAATATTCTGGTGTAACGTGTTTACTCTTTTTCTGATGCAAGGCTCCTCGGAAGGATTGTATGCTGTCAAATCGAATTTAAAAATATATATATATTTTTTTTCTTCATTTTCTTCGTTTAGACACTCAATGCTTAAAAGCAACAGTTAAATACCCGAAAACCATTTGCACGCATTTCCCAAATTCAGCAAGGAAAGATCTCCCCTTGAACACCCAACCAGAAAAGGTGCCTGTGAAATATTTTTTTCTTTAAAAAAAGACATCATTTGAAAAGTGAAAAAAAAACAGTCTACATAAAACACTACGCAATTAAAAATCGTGTTGACCGATAATATAATTTAATCATTTCCACATTTTAATGTTTTACCTTTTGTAACTAACTAGGACTGGGAAAATAGTATAGTTGAATGTGTTGTCTACAGTTACTATTCTCATTCTCCTCATAATCTAGACAAAACGCCTCATGTAAAAACTATTTTTAACGTTTTAAGAACTCTAGATTTACTAGAAATTTCTGGATTTACAAGCATCCTGCAATTCTGTCTCGTTAACATTATGATGTTTTTGTTTTATTCAAACGGTCTAGAAAACAAGTGAACGAAACCGCGACGTTTCTAAGGTTGCTCCAACTTCTTCTTCAGTTCTGATCACGTATTCAGTTCTGTATTTAAAAATTATGTTTAATGAACAATACTGACGAGAGTAATCGGATTTTTAATTTAAGAGAGATATATAACGTGTGAGCGCAATATACGTGTCCCACGGTACAGTATAGCGCTTTTTTCCCACTTAAGTGTTTTCTAAGTAGGTTGTGTGTTTTACAGTTTAAAACCCAGTGCAGCCAGAATGATGAACTTTCGAATGTTATTACTTTAAAGCAGTCATCATCAACTCTGTAGACTGACTGAGACTTTTTTAAATTACTGGTGCAGACATACAGTATATAAAAAATACACATAGACGAACTAAAAAAAAACGACAAACACCATTTTATGTCTACTGGTTTTATTGCTTCAGACTCAAAGAACCTACTCTAGAGGCCATATAGTCCAAGGGGTAGAATCTCTATTTGCTTGAAGAGAAAAAGTGAATATATTGAAACATTGGTACATTGTTACACGGGACCTGCAGAAACTTTACAAGCAGTTTTGTCTAAAAACCCAAATCACACTTTTAAGGCAACATAAATTTTGGCAGCTGACACAAAATCATTTCCCACTCGTAGTGATTTATATTAAAAAAATTAAGCATCAATCTAATGCCATCACAAAATCTGTGAACTCTGTAGTGTACTAAATTAAATCAATGAAAGAAACATTTGTGTTTCATCAACAGACTCTCTAATCACTTTTTAATGTTGTAAAATGCAATGATAGAAAATTATTTGCAACACAGCACTAAAGGTTGTAAACAGCTACATACAAAAATCAAAATGCATTTTCTTCCTTATTTTTCTCTGGCCTTATTATTTTGAATATTTACAACTTATAATTAAGCCAAATTTTACTTACAGTTGGACTAAACTAAGTTATGATGTCTCCCACAATATTATTTTTCTTCAGTATACAATACTTGGCACCATTATGCAGTAACAAAAATAGACAAAAACAGTTTACAAAATTTTTTAAAGATACCCAAGCCTATCTAAAAACTTCACATTCAGAAACATAATATTATTACATAGAAATAAGTTAGAATAAGAATAACAAAGAGTGAACGCTATATATGATAAACAATATCTTATATACTTGTATTATCCATGGAAATGGTAAATATCCTTTGATATAGAGAACAGGTTTGTTGAATATTTTAAAATCACTAGGTTTAAAGATACTATCAGCTGATGACACACCCAAGCAGTCGTATTGGAAGGTATACTTATTTAAGCATACAATTTTGGTAAGATTTATAAATTAGTTTTAAAAAGTATATAAAATGAGAAGCAGCTGATCTGTGATTCAAAACCATAAACATGGCAGTGTGTAGTATGCACATTAATCAGTAAAGAAAAAAAAACCATGAAATGAAAATACCTATCTATTCTAACACAGGGACCACAAACCTTGGTCAGTAAAGAAAACTCCACTAAAACCATCAATACCTCTACTTCAATACAATCCAATGTACAAACAACCTTACTAATATAGATATACAATTTTTGCATTGCACTTTAATACATCCTACATGTGGAAATAGGTTCTTCTATATGTAGAGGCATATCTAAAAAGTTGTAAATATGGTATCTAAAATACGTAGTATTTCTGATATCTATTAGAGTTTTGGCAACAAAGCTGTGACACATTAAAAATATTCCACATTTCAGTTCTGTCAGAGAAACATACAAGACAGTGAGGTATGTGAGGCTTTTCTTGAGCAGAGTCCAGATGTTGAAGCATTGTGTACGATCAACAATCTAAATGTGGCACTGAAAACTCCATTCATTAGTACAGCTGTACAGTTTGTACGTAGTTGTGTGTTTTCTTCTACTGGTGTTTCCTTTTTTCTAACGTCTAACTTCCTAACTTCTCAGAGGGTTGCTTCTCGTAAAATCTTCTCTCCCCATTGGCACCGCTTCCCTGTTCATTAAAAAAAAATGCACACATTGAACAGAACAAAAGAGACTCTGTAACTTCTCAAGTGAGTCATCTATAAATATATATTCAAAAATAATAATAAAAAATATTTACCACAACATCACTGCACGACACAACACTTGTGCTTATTTGCATTAGGTTTACCTGCCCCTGCAGCTATTCGAAAGGACAAGAAGACAGGCTGTGCAGTAGAGGGAAAAAATAAAACAGTGTTAATATCTGTATATACAAGACAAGGACAAGTACATTGTTGATTCGAATAATTATTATGCACCATTTCTGTGCAAAGCACTTCACAAAGAACCTTCACAACTTTGAGAGGCTAACATTTTAAAATAAAGCTAAGTGTAGTGATTAACTATAAATCCAGGACATTATTACTTAGTAGGTGTGACAATAACTCATTGATCAAACATGTTTATGTTAAAACTGTTCATGATATAAACCAAAAGTTAAAACAAAATTTAAGAAAAGAAAAAAAAACAGAAAAATGTGAAAAGAAAACAAGTTTCAACAACTGAACGTCTCTATATTTAATACAGGTTATCTTCCAGATGGTTTAAGTGTTTCTGGGCTTTGTATTGTTTGTAGTTGTGCTGTGCATGCTTTAGACAGATGCTAGAACTCCTAAACTGGAGTGCGATTAAAAATACTTGGCATGAACACATTAGCCAATGGTAGTTGTTTTTTGGCACTGTGATCCTATCCAAGGGGGTTAAAATAAAGAAGTACTCTTAAATAAAGTATTAGATATTCAGCACTATTAGATTCCTAAATTCCAGAATACCTTGGTACAGTATTTAAATCTAGAAAAAGACTTGTTGAAGTAAAAACAAAATTTGGCCCGAAGCACAGCACAATTTTATTTTTATTCATGTTATTCTTGCACAATGTTCATGTGTTTTCCTGCTTGGTTTACCATATTAAATGATGAAAAGTAAATGTTTTGGACCTTTTTAGCTATTATAGAAAATCGCTAAAGTATATTTTCAAACCAATTTTTATGACATCTTCTTGTGTCTAATTGGAAGTGTTCTGCAGTGTGACTTAATTTTATCCAGTATCGAATAAACACAACGTGTTTACTCATAAATAGAACCATGTAAGTGACAGGTACTGTAGCATCACTATTGAGAAAAGTTTAATTGTTTAACAACAAAGACAACTGGTTTTGAAATAAAGAAATTTGTGTGGGTTTAACTACAAGACGGCATTTCAGAACAGTGTACGTGACAAAAGGTGTTGATTTTACCTTGTGGTCTCCCATACATACGTTGGGGCCAATATTATCATAAATCACAGCTTTCTCATCATTTTCTGGCTGCAAACAAAACAAAAACATACAATAAATCTCTATCTTAAAAGGTTGGTTAATTCAGTGATACCATGATACCAAAAATAACAGACAGTAGTAAAAATAATAAAAAGATAATAAACAGAAATAAGGACCTGGTTTTAAAACAAGCAGTTGGGATGGACTGGAAACTTTGCTTAGATGGTGAAGAAACCTTGGAAAAAGTTTCAGTTTTTCCTGTATTATTTACAGCTTTAAGAAATCAGAAACAGAGACCAAACAGAGGTATGATTTCATAGTCATAAACATAATAAAAAGCCAACTAATTAATTCTGTTTGTCTAGAAAATATTTTGGTGACATGCAACATATTTTTGACAGTATATAAACATTATTACACATTAACCTTAAAGAAACACAATTAAACTAAAAACCTAAAAACTGCCGGTGAACAAAATATACATTTTTGAACATTAAAAAATATGCTATATTTGGGATTATTAAATTTAACACACAATGACATGTAAAATGATGTGAAGAGTCTTAGGGCCTAGAAAATAAATCACATGTTCTGGTTGAACTAAAGAGTTTTTAAATATCCTTTAGATAAAAGTCTCCAAGCTGCATCCAATCATGTATGACTAGGTGAGGTGTGCTGCCATTTAAAGAAGGAAGAAAATGAACTATAAACTTAAATTTAAATTAACTTCAAACCAATAAGGAAGGCGAAGGTCACAACTACAGCAGTGTGCCAATGCCTGCATTGAAATATAAATATTACCTTTTGTACTGTATGCATCAGCACTTTCCAATATATTTTGAGATCATCATGCCACTGCTTTCGGAAACTGGGATACATTCATCAAACAGGACTTGATAATTTACAAAGGCAGCATAAAATTGTGGATTTTCGGGCTGCATAATCTTTAGACAGATAAACAAATTACAGCAGCGCGCAAGCAGAAACAAGCCTACACTTCGCTGAGCATTCATTACCGCATGCTCTCAGCTGGCGATGCGATGCCCTAGCAGTGGGCAACCTTTGGTGTGTTAGGGCTCAGAAAGCAGAAAATAACATGATGGCGAGTTAACGGACCATGCCATGATAGATGATGCTGCATGAAGGCTGTTTACAGCCCCATGTCTCTACAATCTGTAACGCCTAGTGTGTGGCACTCAATGCGGCGTGAGCTAATTTGTGGAGATTCACACATTAGGGCTTTATACTTCTGCAGGGCTCAATATTACAAGCAATTAACCACTGCTTTAAAGCCTGACTATAGATTTAAGTGATATGCGGAGTTAAGTGATATGTGTGTAATGCCATTTTTAATTCTGGATTGCTATTTTCTATCTAAACCTTGTTGGCTGTCAAGGCTTCTTTTCTGAGCTAAATTACTGCTGTTTACATTTTCTGAACAATCATACAAAGAAGTAGAATGACAGATGCATTTGCATTCATTGTCTGGATCTAAAGATGCAATTTTACCTTAACTAAAACTACAAACCAGAATACTGATTACAAATTAATATAATGCAATCTTGTACTAAGCTATTAATTTTAACAGCTTTTTAAAATTGCTGTTGCACAACTTAGAAAATATAAAGTTAACTTTTACAATAATACAATCAGCCCTTTTTTAACTGATGTAACCTGTTTCTCTGCAGTTTTCCATGATTGTTTTACTTACCAATACAAAACAAATATATACCTTCACAAATTGTGAGTTCGTTAGGACGTTGTTCCAAGGTACAAATAATGACCTGAAATCTCTTTTTAAACATTGTAAATACAATAACTGTCAGTCATGTAAAGCAGGCCTTAAGGTAATTTAATTCTTGGAAAATTATTCTTTATTAACCTACTAGAAAAAGACGTGTAAAACTACTATCAAGTTCCTAATTATCTAACAGTCATTGTATTACAGCAATACATAAATGAATGATTCAAATTATATATCTTTTTCTAACCTTAACATCTCTCTCACATTAAGTATTCCAGAATGTTTTTTTGATGAAACTCGGATGGATCCTTTGGATTTACGGAGAATACGTTTACTAAAGAAGCACTTTATATTTTAGGAGTCAAGCATTTTATTCTGAATCATCCCCACAAGCTCCTGAGAAAGACTTATTTAAAATATTCAAAATATACACGTGTACATAGAAGATAGTTTAGTTTACACCAAAAACAACAAAGATGAGGTGTATACCTCTCAGCTATATTAATGAGTCTGTTGCTGAATCCAAAGTCCTCATGTGTAAGGCTGGCAGTCAGGAAAGAGCTACATATATAGATGCGGAATTCTGACTTTACTTCAAACATTCGGGGAATTCATTTTCATCCAGGAAACTGGAAGTATTACACTAATTACTTTCATCACGGAGCAATCCACGTTCTCTGTTTTGTAAAGACAACTGAATGTATCCTAGATGCTTTTGCTCATATCACTTTAATTCACTGTTATTTTTTAATTAGTTCAAATTTCTATGGGTTATTTTCCAATTTCCAGATTATCCTCTGAAATGTAATAATCCAGTACTCCAGGGCAGTGAAAGTTACAAACAAAGGTTATTAATCATGTTATAATCAATCATATCAAATGCTATAATGGTTTAAGGAAGTGAACATATTTTCTTTTGACTTTTGTTAAAAAGATATAGCATTTTATTCCAAGTGACTGCTTATATAACACAAGAAATATTACCAGAAATGTAGACAAACCTGTATTTGTTAGGACCATATTAAAGATAAAAACAGTAAATTGAGTTTTCATGTACCTAAAGGAACTGAAGGGTCTCCAAAAAACACTATTTATCATCCCAGGCAATAATCTAGCATCTGAATTCAAGGATTCTAGAGGAACTCACCTAAATTGAACTTTATGTTAATTTACACTAAAAACAATTTACTACTACTATGACTACTAGAAACTCTTAATGAATATATATTTAGCCCATTCAAATTAGGCCCGCAAATAGTATTTATTTAAAAAACAGATTGATCATAGCAATTAATGCTACATTTTATTTTAAAAACAGTCTGTTCGCACATTACTGTTTAAGAATAATACAAATGGCCGACTTCGCACGCACAAAAGATCTATATGATGATAAAGTGGGAATTCTAGGATTTTCTGTTCAAAATCAGTACAGTTGCTCTGCATATAATATTTAAAGCTCTACTTACTTTTGAAATAAGTTCCTTTGCAGAAGAGGAAAGTAAGATCCGATCGCACCATGCGGGGCATCTGGTATTCATGTACTGCTTTCCTTGACTGCTATCTTCACTATATGGGTAACTGATAAAAAGAGATTGTATTATCATTAATAAAAAGATGAAAACTGGCTCTCAGCTTTTAAAATCATGAATGTTTCTACTGACTTAAAAATTGTTTTGTTAATTTAGTGAGGGAATGTTTTAGACTTTCTTCCACTGTTGACCTATCTGGAAAATCTTCCTTATTCAGCAAGTAAGTGTTGCCAACATTTCCCCTTTAGAAAATAAATATTCGGTTAAGAGCTATAAGCATAAAAATGACAGATATCCATATTTCAGAAAAGAAGGTACCAAGAAGGACACCACATCTAATTGAAATATTACATTTTTACATGCTCATTTCAAATAGCTAATTGAGAGAAGGGTCATCTAGTTTGGAGACGAACGAGGTGCAAACTGATAAAAAGCTGTGCAAGGGAAACAATAATTAGGTTTCAGCTAGAGGCAACAGAAATTAGACATTTTTACAGAGAGAAATTCAAATTATACAAGGCATCTACAGAAAAAAAAATGTGTGAATACATCTGCGTTTTTGATTCTGATGCATTTTGATATATTTTATTTTTCTGGCACTGCAAAAACTTTTGAAAAAAGTTGACTGAACTCTTGACTGAATTTTCTCAACTGTATACATTTTCACATTACCTCTGAAAGAAGTTACACCAAAGAAAAAACACCTACAGGTCACACAGGAAAAACAAAAACTTATTTACCACACATCACGACGTTATACAAGAAAGCCACGCAAGGCAGTTCTGTCGAATGAGTTTACAAGATACACTGCCATCAAAAAGAGATTAAGTATGGCGAACATCCAAGAAAAATTGCATTGGAAACTAGTGGAACAATCCAATGATTTAAGTACTCTTTACACCTCATCAAACTGGAGAAGATTTACATTATGAGTATTCAATTTGTTACTTCAGTGCCACTGTAAAGTGTATTGTATATCAGCATATTTCTGACATTTTTATTTTATAAAAATTGCCTTCCACTGCAAAGTGAATGCTAAATTCTCAACAAATTAAATATATTTTTAAAACAATGTAAGTGGCATATAATAATGGCCTACTCTCTTTCCCATACCCACTAGAACTAGCTATAGCTAAGTAGATTTGTCTGCAGATGCTTGTAGGATCCCTTGATTTGTAGTTAAAGCAAAATGACAGAATACATGCAAGATATTTTGAAACACCTCCTCACATATATTTGAAGAGCAAACATGTTTAATTTATACTAGGTCTTTTGTGTTGTCCCTTTGATTGCCCAGGATTAAGTCAGATGGCCAAGTTTGTCAGAAGAGGCTAACCTTGTTTGGCTTTACCTGTCTAAACATTCATCCCCTTCAGTGACAGGTTGCTAAAACACAAACACGTTCACATTAGCTTTCTCAGCGCAATCCAGCCATGATAGGAGTCTCATTTTCAGCAAATCAGCAGGGTAAACATGGGCCCTGCAAACAGCACTTGTTAAAGAGTACAATGTGCTAAACAGCTGCTACTTGCAAATGTTACAGTCATGCCATGGCGACCACGTTAACAGTGGGGTCAAGGGTCTTAATAAGAAAAGGTGAAAAGGATGTTTTTTGCAGGAGCAGTAAGGGGTTCTCTATCAGGCCTATATGCAGCACACAGTAAAGTAGGTAAACATAACCTAAGCTACAGCTTCACAAAGCCAACACAACAATTAGCCATAATGGCATTTTAAACATACCTTCTATTACGCAAAAAGGATGAAAATTGTTCCAGATATGAAAAAAGAGCAAGAATTTAGTACAAATAGGTGACAGAAGAGAAAGGAGGGACATTGTACAGAGGAAGAAGCAAATGAAGACATATACCTCTATGACACAGTTATCTGAAAGTCATGAAGGGTTTACCCTTGGTAAACATTACAATTTCTTCTACATTTATATTTCTGATCACGTGTTACCAATATGAACCAACCGAAAATTTTCTTTCAAAACATTGCTAAATATCTCATTTGAAAATGAATGCATTTAAATTTACTTTTTCACTGTTAGGTAATAAATACAAAGATATTAACATGTTTTAACTGTAATCTAAAGAACAGAAAAACAACTACAGAGGACACACTACAGTAATAAAATGGCCTTTTATATCAGAAAATGTCATAGGAAATTGAATACAGCTGAAATCTGAAGGAAATTCGTAACCAAAGTAGTGTAAATACAGTGATTCTTCATAAAAATAACAAAAACCTTTTTTAAAAACAGCAAAAAAGCAGAAATCACATACTGAATTACAGTTTATAGTGCCATTCAGGTTTGGACTCCTCATCAGTCAACACTCAAGAACAGTGCCTTAAACACTTCCCCAATTCATTTCTATTCAGCCTTGCCTAAGGGCAGAACACAAAATGGATGTGCTGGTAGGCAGGTTTTCCCTCACGACAACTGTAGATTACATGACAGGCTAATGCAATGACAAACAATAGAGTGCCACTTTCAACAGAATGATTAATACTGCAGATAGCAGTGCTTACAAACTTATCACAGAACAAACTTTGTAGGTGGGTGTGAATGCTGAAACTCGTCAGCTCCTATCTTGCCCATATTACCAGCAACAAGAGTAATTATAATAATTAATGGGGAGAGGTGATAAACTTAACAATTACCCACCTGTGTCTTGGAGCCATGTGTTTCTCAAACTCCCCATTCATTAGCTTACACTTCTATCTTTTGCCCTGTCAATTAGGAACATTGTAGTTGCCGTTCAGTCACATGTCAGGGGTGATATGATAATGGCCACAGTGACCAGGTTTGGTTTGGCAAAACCTGCCGGATTACATTGTGCTTTATTTTGTTGGCAACTGTTGCTGCTGAGAGATGATTCAATACAAGAGCAAGATGAATCACATTAAGATTAGAATAAATCTGAACAAAGAGACTGATAATTGATATATAGCTTTTTTATGCTGAACTGCTAACACTAAATACTAAGTCATATTCCTCTTTTCCTTCTTAAATGTAATATTTAATTAAAACTTTTCAGAATTGATCTGTGTGAGACCAGATAGAAGTGGGGGTTCAGAAAACAATCTTCTGAATTAATTAATACAATTTCATGTTTCCCATTGTTTTGAGTTTAAAACATGGTGGAAAGACTCAGTTTAAATCTTGTGTTCATTTCCAGTGGTCAGGCAGAATACTGTCATATTTGCAAACCATTTTGTGTTTAAATTTAAAACTGTCAAATTTACATCTGCTCTCCAATAAACATCTGCTTTATGAGTGTTAGTCTTTAACACCTTGCTGCTCACATAAATCTGCCAAAACGCTAACTAAGAATATAATTCTCAAAGAAAGATTAATGAATAATGAAATGCTTTAAAAGCATGTTTTATTCATCAATAACACTAGGGATTGTGCTCTCTTTTAAATCTTACTCTGCACCTCTTAAACAAAGATTCCCATTACAGAGAGATGTGACAGAAGAATATACAACTACAACAAAATAGATGACTGTAAGTATGCCAGTGCCTGTAGTATTATTTTAGAATTGCAGTCAGTATAATGCAATATTAAAATTTATAGCCAGTAGTTAAAGAACAACTTCCAATGTGGAAAACAAATGCATTGCTTATTTTCTTTAAACAATCAGAAACAACACTGCATTTTTTACAGAAAATCAAACTCATCCTTACACAACTTTGGGACAGACCCATTTAAATAAAGCTATAATTCCAATTAAAGTCTTCTTTGTCTGTTCTGCACAAATGATTTAAACATACAAAAATATAAATAATCCTGAAAATAAAAACATTATTTATCTTTTCAGACAGGATGGTACAGTTATAAAGTGCACCATTTTCTCAAGATTTATTCAGCAATTCATTATGGTGGTATTATATACAAGACCTGTGTAAAGGAACTTCATACTGTTTTTAACTTAATAAGAGGGTTTCAAGTAAACAGTTAGTTGTGGTTAATTACTGCTGTATTTACTGGAGTGGAGTCTTAATTGACATTAAGAGGAAAAAATGCCAGCGCTACCTCAAAATTACCCCTCTGCTAAAACACATAAAAGGCCAACAACCACCAATGAATCAGTGACCCATGGCAATCCAAGATTTTATTTCACATTTTGAGTTCATTTTGAGTTCATATGAACTTATATTTATATTTCACAGGAAGATTCATAGATCTATAACATTTTAACTAACATCCACAAGAGGTCACTATATAAAATTATGCATCCTGGGGTCAGACAACCAGATAGAGGAAATCCTGGGTACAAATGACAAAAGTCAATGTCAACACAGCGAATACGAGTTTTAAACCAACGTATGTCTAGTTTGCAATAGAAATGTATTGTTCTCCTGGATTTCTTTCTTTAGTGCTGTTGCTTTTCCCACGAGGAAATTTACTCTCTACCGCATCCTCATAGACTTGCTGAGTTTTGAAGATGTATGCTAACTTGCCAAAGTTGGTCTCAGCTTGGTCTCAGCTTCCTATTAAACACCAAACGGTGAAGAGACAACTGTATATCTCCGCTCAGCTCTCTCCAGTGCCGTCTAGACTTGGCAAACAGAGTGACGGGGGAGATGCCATCCATTTTATTAGTGTAGCTCCACCACTACACTGCTCTAACGGCAAGATGATGCAGTACACACAGGCAGCATTTACCGTAATCAGCTTCAAATGGTATTCTAAATAACATTATTAGAAGCAGAATGAATAGGACTCTTGCTTCTGCCCTTCTCATTGTTCTTTAATTTCCCCAGTACTGGTTTTCATATTACATTTCGGAATCGATTGTGCTCAAGAACCTGAGATAATAGCAGTACTAAAAGCCCTTTCTTTAAATAAATCAAGTATATGAATAACAATTCCTTTTTCAGACAAAAACTATTTTTCAACCCCACATGCTGTTTTTACGGCTATGCTATTTACCAGATGACATCACAATTTGCCCCACCTTTCATTCGGAAATGATGCATTTTGGACTTTCCTATTTTAACTTCTATTACCATATGGGAGAAAAAGCAAATGTCTTATATTCTTTAAAAGTAATTTGACTAATTATCAAAGCAATGATTTTCAATTCTTTTCCAATGTAAACTTCAGATAGTAGAGAAATTACAAATAGAAATTATGAAATGGCATTCCTACTAAAGGATCCAAAGGATAATCTAAATCCAGTTTAAGTATGGATTAAGTCAAATGCATCATAATACCAAAAGAAACTGGCTGTAAAAGAAAGAATCCTAACCAGCAACAAACATATTTAAATTACATGAACTTTATTTATGAAAATCTAGACCTTAAGAACATAAGAGAAGTTATCAACAAGAGAGGGTTATTTGGTCCATCTAACTCATTTGGTAGTTACTAGCAAAGTGATCTAAGGATCTATTGTTTTAAAGAAACCAGGGTATTGGCTTCAACAGCATAGATGGGTAGTGGGTTTAAAGATGTCTCAATATACAGTACACACCTGCTGTACATGAGTCAGTTTATACTGTATGTACTATATTTACATGCTCATTATATTCTTTCACCTTCAAAGGAGACCATTCTTTAATGAGCTACACAACCAGCTAAGTTTGATGCATGCTTCTTTCAAGTGATACAAAGTCAAGAATGATCCCCTGAGAATTCATTCTGTTTTTAGATAGTACTCCTGATTTAAACTGCTATAGTTCGCTGTTTCTGTACCCAACAAACAAATTGGCAGTGCATTTCAGTGGAAAGCCTGCAGTCTATCACAGGCATGCCACGGCCTCTGGCTGCCTGGCTCCAGGAACACCACTAACATGGGAAAGCCAAATTCAACACCAAGGTGTGCAGTGTTCACACTTGTCACAATGGACTCTGACTGATGACTTCTTGAGGGCAAACGATGTGAATTTACACCTTGTATCACATTCTTCAAATGCAAACACCATCAATGACAATGTATCCCACCTCCTTACCTCCCAGTTCCAGTGTTCTTGTTTCCATTGCCAAGCTGGGCAAAGAAGATCCTGATCTGTTAACCCAGAAAACTGCCCCTTTCCCATCATAATGGCTTTTTCCAGAGTCTTAGCTGCTACATTATTTTTCTTATACCTACCAGTTTGGAATAACCAATGCAAACATTATACAACATTGCAACACTGCCATTAGAATTTTAAAGACATTCCCTGACAGGACTCAGAGATCCAGATAAAATCCGGGACTTTCATACAGAACAGTGCCTTTTCTGACCTGGCTATTTGCCTTATACAGTAAGTCAGGATCTTCATCACAGACCCCGGCTTGCAACTACGAACTCCCATTACCACACACAGAGAAGAATGGGGAAGTATAGGCAGACTCCACTGAATCACAGACAACACAACCCTGTATGAGAGGTTCAGCAATGGCTGAAGAAGTGGAATGTCTTTCATTAACAGCATACCTGAAAGCACCCAGGACTCAACAAGGAGTTTCTGTGTACTGTAGGTGGGAGCCGAGAGGACCCTGGCTGACTATTATTCTCTGTGATACAGCGATAGCTAACTGTGTGCCACCAATTCTCATATCCCAGTCATAGTCGGCTAGTGACACGATCGAGGATCGAACCCAGATGAACCCCACAACCTGCACTCAGGTTAAGTGTAATCTAAAGTGTAAAGTGTTTTTTAATGTAACTAAATGACACTTTCAAATCTTCAATATTGTTATCCTTAATATTACGTATGACTTGGGAAAAATCTTAAAATCTAGTGTTCCCATTGTTTCAGTTTTTCAACAGTGTAGTTGAAATAATTAAAGTACCTTAGAATTTATCTGAAAAAAAAAACCCTCAAATCAGACAAAATTTTTCTGTTTTGTAATGGTCAAAGAACTATACTATCTGTGAACGACAATCCATAGTGCAAAAGTACATGTATTGAATATGCTAAGGTGATGCCATTTCGTTAAATGATTAATTATAAAAGGACAATTAATCCAACTGATGTCACTTATGCAAAATAATGCAAATAGGACCCGTGATTAAGACATCTAGTCATTTAAAGCACAGTGCACCTGCCAAAACCTTGACCTACGACACCTGCTCAGTTTATCAAGTAATTATTGTTTGATTACAGCATTTCATTATCTTTACTGATTGAGTAAGTCCCAGCACTAAAGGTCAACTGACATTATCGCACAAACAACAAAATACATTTCATGTAATAATAGTATGCTTTCCTGTTTGAACGAGGTAATTGCAAATTGATTTGTTTGACTTAAAATTATAGTGTCTCCAACATATTTTCCACTGTATTTAAAATGCTAAGGTCATCCAGAAACATACTGCACTTAATTTCCAGTATCTGAGATTTAGCTATTGTATACATTAGTAGTGCAACGTAGTTCAAACCCTGTCCAGGTCAGCAGACAGTGGGTTGTTTCAGCATTAGAGTTGATTACTGCTGATTCTCTCTTGTTATAGGTGTAATAGGTGAAAGAGCAATGAAAATAGTGGCGGACAAACTGTGAAGAACTTTGCACCAAATGTTTCCACTAAGCACATCTAATGTAAACCCTAGCAAAAACCATTAGTTAATGTTACAAAGTATTAGTCAAGCTGGAAAATGTGCAACATTTTTTTCACGTGTAGTACAATCAAGGTCAAATGTTTCAGCTGTGCTGGGTGGAATGTCTAGTCATCGTGGCTCTTTGTAGTGACTGACTCTCCTCTACAGTGCCTCAAGCCATTGATACAGGCCCTGCAATGGTGTCTTTTCATAATATATAAGGACAGAAACCATTTGATTAAAGGAAATTAACTTACGAAACTTCAGATTCAACTTAATTTTTTACTAAAGTATAATCACTGTAACACCGTTTTAAAAACTCTTTGGGTAATGATTTTCTCTTTTCCCTGACGGGTTTATAAGTCAAGGTTTTTCAAAAGAAAGCCAAAGCAAAGAGAAGGCATATTGTAAACACTTGTATTAGGCACATCATTCTGGGTGTCTAGCTACATCCCTTTTACCAGTAAAATGCTTTGAGTGGAGTGTCCAGAAAAGCGCTATATAAGCGTAAGCAATTATTATTATTACTTCCTATAAAGCACCTGAGCAAAATTATATATATGCAATATTTTTAACATGCAGTAATATTCTAGATAAACATAAATTGTGATTCCTTCAGATGGGCTTTCTAACATTAAGCTCACACACATTTCAATCACAACACATTTTAAAGTCAGTAAAAATATTTTTTTATAATTTCTGAAAGGAAGCACCCCGATTTGAAGATTACATTAAAATATACATTTACCTGGGAGGAAAGGAGATCTCAAGCTCATGCAGCCGATCTTTAAACACAGACAGCTCTTTGTCAAACTCTAACAGCTGAAAAGAGATAAAAAGTTAGAGGTGATACAGAGTTATTTTAATCACAGCAGAGATCACCCTAAGGAGAATAAAGTTTATAGAGAGTGCTATGTGCCTATGCGTGTTTGCTTTACATTTTCATAAGTTCCAAGCACAAGAGAGATTATTTAACTGCCACACTTGCCAGGATGAAAACATCTACATACACATAAAGGGGGAGGAGGTCTGGCAGACAAACGTCCTGAAAGCAAAAAGGGCATATTTTAATAGATTTATTTCAATAAAATAAACTAATCTTTAGCATCTATTTATTTTATAACTGATAACCGATAAAACGTTTTTATAGGCTGATTTATGGATACCGGTTATTTTAAATAACATCTGCAAAGTTGTGTCATTTTTATGCAGGGTAAAAGCAGCACCATTTTCCTACTGTTAAGTCTGAAATCTCTTTAATGCTGCCATATCAGCCTTGTATGTAAGTGACTGTTTAATGGCTGAAAAGCATTTAAAGTGCCGAATGGAAGCCTGAACGACTTGCTTCATGCCAGTTGCACATCTTCTCATTCTGGCAAGTGTGCCATTGCAATAACCCCCTTTTTATGATGGCTGCATGTTTGCCCGGCGTCCATTAATCATGTCCCATCTCACAGCTGTGCTGATACCACTGTAGGAGAAGCAGCAGTTCAGATTGATATTAGATTATGTCCCTCTCTCCCCCCTGCTACCTCATAAATCATTTGTGAAAAGTGCAATTAGCAGCTACTTGTACACATTAATTATCCATGTGAAATGCAGGTACCTTAGACACCTGATTCAGCTCTCTATCTCTGGCTCAGCCCTAAAATGGACCCTGCAGAGCTTATAGCAGTCACACAGAGGGTGGCAATGTCCATGGAGGCCAGCACCCACTGATCTATCGATCTATAAATCAATCTGTAATTCCTTCCATCAATTCATCCACCTGTCATAAAATGATTTCCTTTGCTTTCGTAGTCTCCTTAACCAGTACACACAAAATATTAGCCGTATGTTACATAATGAATTTAGAACTGAGAAGAAAAAAATGTGGTCAACTCCTACTGCAGTGTAGTGTGTGGACTATGTGGGAAGCCTAAAATCTGTGACAGTATGAAGCTGGTCCTTCCAATGTAACTTAATCCAGCCAGTGGTGTAGAACAGTAGCCATTACTCTTAAGGCGCTACAGTCCAAAGGCAGAGCCTCCCTAGATCAGAAGGTGATATTTGCAGCATTCATCAAACTCATCCTGCCTGGGCCACTCGAGAATTCACAAGCTGTGAATGAGAAATGAAGTTTGGGAGACAGCAGGGAACGTATGCTTGTGTGTGCCACCTAAAAATGACAGATTATTTGTGAAACAGAATATGTTAGACATCTATACCATGTACACATGTGCATTTAGTCTGGACATGTAAATTCAGCAGCAAAAATACGTTTTTTTTCAATCTGCGACATTATTAAGACAAGATGTAGCAATTAAGATACAGAGCAGTTTACTGTTGGGCAGTGCTTGGTGTATTTGTTTTTTAGGAGATCTTGGGTATAAAGTGAAAGTTGTGAAATTCATTTAGGTGGCAGATAAAGCCTGAGGCTGAAATTTCACACTACATTTCATCTCAGGTCAATTAAGCATAATGATTTGCTGGTTTGACGGGTCAGCAGTAAAATCAAAGCCTATATAGGTTCAAGGGCTCATTGCATTATGAAGCTGCAGTTTATCAGAAAGAATTGACCTTGAAGTTTAGTAATAGAAGCAATGGAAGCACTGAGCAATGACACATATGGAAAACGTCAGTGGTAATCAAAACCCATTTGACAGAAATTTAAGTATTTACCTTTCATAACAATATAAAGCGGAAAATATTCATCATTAGACAAAAACTTAACCTGGGCTATCTTTGTGACCTGCCTTATAGAGTTGTCTAAAATGTAATTGTGATTTGATTTACAAGTTGTCAAATACCATCCTGGATAACACCTGCTGACATTACAGGCCATCAATAAGGGTACAGGTTAAAGGTCATTTAATTTTATTTTTTTTAACTTCAGATTTGCTTTCATTGCAAGGTCATAGTTTTTCTTCTTTTTATATTGTGATCACTATGTTTTGTGCTACCACAAGCCATCTACCATCATTTTGAATGCTGAAATCATGATCAATTCACAATTTACCTCTTAATCCCCAGGATATTTGTTTTATTTATTTCAAATTAGAATGAGCAAATTTAACAAATTTTAAAATTAGGAACTCAAGGAACATGATAAACAATGGTAAACATTATTTAAGGTGCACTTTGAATCTTTTTTGCTATTAACTGTGTGAGGGTTTGCTACAGCAGTAATCAATAAGCCCCAAAACACGACACACCATTTACAGATGTGGACTGTCATAAGAAATATATCCAAGGAGAGCTGTGGAGTGCGTATATATATTTCAACAAGGTCACATTTTATTTAGAACTTTGGTATATTACTACTTAACACCTGTGACAGCTAAAATATTAAACAAGTTCTGTTCCTTTTTTTCCAAAGGTGTTGTGTCCTAAAAGCATTCTGGGAAGATGACTAAGAAGCACTGTTGACAGAAAAGTTCATCACTAGCGCTAGGAGTGCCCCTGTGCATAAATCCTGCTGCTACTGAAGAGACATCACACAGATAAAGTTAAAATAAAAAGATACTGAAAAAAAATCAATCGCACTTGAGGAGACACAGCAGAGACCCACGCACACAAGCTGCTTCAGCCCCCTGCCCGCCAAGCCTTGTAAGGCCTGCAAAGATTCCCAAACACTACTGCAGAGCAGCAGAGGAAAATTTAATCTTCCCAAATACTCATCAGAGCACTCCATCCTGGCAGTCTGACAGCCTCACTTATAATTAATTATACAATTTCGATGGGAATATCGACTAAACAAACCTATAAATCATAGGAAAAGTCAATAGGCATGGACACATTCAATCATGTCCCAACCAATGATTACTCCTCTCAAAATACAATAATTATTTTCGAGAGCTGGCTTGAATTAAATTTCTGTCAGGCCGGTACAAGTCTAGTAGTTGATGAAGGATGCAATGGATTTTTTTTTTGAATTGGGTGTAGGGGACATTTATCCTTTTCGAAAGGTAGTTTGTTTTATAAGGATCACAACACTTTGTGTTTAACTAGACCATGACGATTAGATTATCTCTGATGGCTCATTATATCATTTATCTTTCCGTGTGTAGTCGATCTGGAAGAGCACCTACGTCTCCCTCCTTCTAAAACAGGCATGTGTATGGATGAAAACAGACACAGCTCTTTAAATGTAACTATCTGAGATTGAAGAAAAAATGAAGCTAGTAATCTGTAATTCAAAAAACCATGGGCAGATCATAAATTGCCTGACACTGGGATGTACGGATATTAATAGAAATGACCTTGTTTCAGTTATGACATTGTATGTAGACCTTAAAGCATAGTTAACTTCTATTAATTGGTAATAAACTTATCTCTATTAAAATGTAAGTACTAGTGTTTATCTTATCTGATAATTTATCATTCACCATTTTAGACACTATTAGAAAAGTATTTGACCTTTTCAGGAACTCAAACAAGTAAAGACTGGAAACAACCAGGATATGAACAATCAGATCTTTATCGTTATGGTCACAATGGCAGCCACTGTAGACATTATCTTTTTATCTTTCAATTTATTGATTTTTTTCTAGCTTTAATTCTTCCCTGGGGCTTGTGGCTAACCTTCTCTTAGTCTTCTGCAAGAAGACAGACATTACTTTAAATTAAGACAAATTCTCAAAATATTTTGAGCTCTGGGCACCTTATAAAACTTGTGTTCACAATTTTAAATACACTGAAAATTCACAGTGAAGTCACCTTAAACTATCCAATCATGTATGCACTGTTACATTATACATTAGATAGATATACTGTATTAATATTATATAAAACCTTACCAGTGTTCCATTGTTTTCTCGGAAAACATCTTGGTTAATATAATCAAAAAGCTTCTTTTCAAGTTGAAGCACAACCTAAAAAATGAAAGTGGCACATAATTCAGAAAACAAACTGTAGAGATTTATAACACTGATTATACAGTATATATATATCAAAGATGATATACAAATTTAAATGCATTTTTGTGCATACTCACAAATGTTTTTTTGTGTGGAGACCAATGTGTAAAGTGCTCATGTCCATAATCCAAAATTAAATTTACAGAAAAATACATTTATGAAACAATCTCAAATTCCAGATCTGTGATACTGCACTGTTTGAAAGTTTTCATCTAAATCCTGGTCTCAATCAAGACCCACTTATTGCAGTTTCTCTTTCATTTTTTCTGTTTCAGAAACTCTTTCGCAGTTGTATGTTTCCATAGTTAACAAATAGTTACCTGATCACTAAGACAAGAATTATAGGTAGACATTTTTGCACCATAACCTAACATATACATTTTTGGTTACTTGTGGGAAAACAATATAAAAAGATGGAATTTGTTCATGGGTGGCATGTTTTACATTATACTTTAAATATACAAAGAAATTACAGTTTGAAACAATGAGTAGTCTCTATAGAAAATCTCTACCATTACTTTTATCAGTTAAAAACTTGGAAGTACCTTTCGGTCATTATCCAGCTCTCGGAATATTAACTTGTCTACCTCATTGGTGTCGGCTGCCCGAATGGTCTGCATCGTCGCTGAAGAACAAAGACTCTGAAGGAAAAGGAAAGTTACTAAATACCTGCAACAGCATTAATCTGGTAACTCATCACAACATTAGTTGTTGCAAACCTCTCTGCAATGTCTGAGGCTATTGCTTTCAGGTTGGACGCAACTGATTTTAAAACCCAAAATATAAAGTCAGGGACAGAGGTTATCCAGAATGAAACTTGGGTACCAGTAAGAAAAAATGAAATTGACATATAAAAATAAACAAAGATTAATAAAAATAACAAAATAAGGTCAGTTCATACATATTTTTAAAAATACAAATAGGCTTTGAGTCACAATTTTTCTTTGTCAAATTTGAAGGAACATAGGTGTCTTAAGAGAAGGAGATGATTTGATAGGATGGACTTAAAACAACAGGGTATAACCTCATAATCAAATTACTCTTAGTCTGTCCAGGTAGTGAGACCAGTTGTTCTTTTTGAATCAGTTTTTGAAATGAGCCCTAGTTCATCAAAAAGCAGTAGATTGAGGTTCAACTATGATTTCCAGTTCATACCACCTGAATTGGAAAATCAAAAATTGTGACTACACATTTTAATCATTCAAATGAAGCCGAAAAACAGCTTTTCTGCAATGCATCGTGACCTCTAGAGCTAAGGTATGGTTAAATTTCCTTTTGTAGCCTCTTTTAACAATTAGTTAAACATTTTACCATCTGTGTTTGAAGACACTTTAGAATGAGATAATCCACCACAACGGTTCCCATACCACACTGCTGTGACACTGGGTGCTTTAAATTCAAAGCACAGATTAGTTAATCAGGTCAAGCCAATATAAGAAAAAAAAGGTCTTTAGACTGAAATGTCACAAATCAGTCCTGGTTGCCTGAAATGGCACACCAGATTAGAACAAACACCCGAACAAACTTAAAGCGGAACAACCCTCCGAGCCTCTAAAGCTGGTTTCTAAAGCCCTAACAAATCGCTCCATCTTTCACTCATTTAAACTTTCCAAACGAAGGGTCAATATGGTCCCCTGGCATCCAAATGCTAATGCGCTTAAGTGCGCTTAAGCAGCTTTCTGCAATGAATGGGCCAAAGAAGGGCTAAAAAGGGCAAGTCAGAGTTACTTTCACTGTCAAAAAGTCATTGTAGCCACCCCGGTTGAGACAACAATTCAGGAAATTCATTATATTTTTTATTATTAAAAAAAGCAAGGAATGGGTTTACAGATTTGCTATCTGCTAAATTCAGGATTTCGATCCAGAATATAAATTAAGTATGCTACAAAAAGGACATGGCCTTCAAATCTGCCTCGAAAAAAAAGAAAAGGAAAAAAGTTATCGTATTCAAATTAGCCTTTCGAGATGCTGACTTTTACAAGCTTTTGGCTTACTTATTCTTTTCAGAATCCCCTCCTGTCAGCTTCACAAATCCAAAAACCAGCCAACCAGAAACCTCTCGGTATTTCAGCTCAGGCTTCTCCACCAATACTTATTTAAATAAAATACTATAGATTTAGGGTAAAAATAGTTTCCCCATTCATGTTAAAATTGATTCTATAATCCAGTGAATGAACCCTATGCCAAGTGTTTATCAATTATTGGACGCCACAGTCAAAGTTACTTGTCAGTAGTGATGGACATTCCCCACCCATGTCTATATGCATGACCACTACTCTGCACACAGTGGCATGAAGTAATGCTTTGGATTTAGAATTAATCAGCTGATTTAGATTCTTTTCTGTTTATCCAAAGCTTCTGACCTTTTAAAAGTTTGTGCAATTGTTGTTTTTCTGTCATTTAGTTTTTAACTAAGAGAACCACACAATTAATTCCATTATTTCTATATTTTTAAATAAAAAATATAGAAATTTCAGTAGTTGCAGTTGAATCATGCACAGCTGTTGAGTCTTCAAGAAATTAATTTGTAAATGAAAGTTTAACTTGTTCATGGAACACGTGATATGACTTCAGTTTTCCGAAAGAGCTTGCCTTATATTTAAGTTCATGTCCCTGAAAACAGAATGATTGAAGTCCTACTAAAGTTCACTCTGATATGAATTGAATATGGTTTGAAGTCTCATGACCATGACAATGACGGATTATATCATCATTAAAAGAAATAGTCTGTTTTGTGATTGAGATCACAATTTAAAATCCCTGAAAGAAATGGAAGGTGCAATGTAATAGACTACCACAAGGTAGAGATTGCAAATGTAAGTGAACAGAAAGATGACAAATGTAGGTGAAACAATAGTAACAGAATCTCTCTGACTGGTGTGGTGAAGGACTATATTAACTGCAGATGTCATTCACGAAAATACAGCAACAGTTGCATGAGTCAGCATAAGAATGTAACTTATTTAGTTGTATGAGCTATACAGTGAGTACAGGGAGTACTGCACTGCTTCCCAATCTCCAGCTGAGAGAGTACAGTCTCAGGGACAACACAGAGCATTGTGCAGAGAATACAATTATGGAGGTCCACAAAAGAAACACTGAAGATGCTGAATTTCATTCTCTGTTCTTAATAGGCTACATTTATTACAAAGTATATGAAAACGGAAAGACAAATAGTATAGTAATATGAAGTGTATCCTCAGTGCTAAATATTCCAGGTGTTCAGTATAAGTAAGCTAGAAGGCAGAAGATCACCACGAGTTAACCTAGAAAACGTTTCCCTAATTGCTGAAAATGAAACAGTAATAGATATAGTTGACTGCTGGTTTCAATAAAAAACAACTCTTCTCTTTCACTGTCCAAACAGCATGCCAATCAAAGCATGAAAGAACATAATCTAAATTACATCTAAACATGTTCTTATTTCCAAAATGATATTAACATAACTGATTTATCAGGAACTAGTGTTTCATTTAAAACTCGAGGATAAGAAAAAGGCCAGATTAGAAAGACAGGCAGGAAACAGAAATTTAAAACTATGACCTTTTACTCCTTGGTGTCCTTGGCTGTAATAGAAGTACAAAACAACTTGGAGGTGGACATTTCCTTTCTGTACTGTTTAGAGTAGAAGAAAGTTCCTAGATTAATCTTAATACCAATCAGATTAGCAGTTCCTAAGGTATGGCTTAAAATGTGTGTCCTAATCACAAAAGGGGTATCTCTATTATATCTTGATCTTGGGGATAATCTCATCCTCAACCCGACTAGGAAAAAGACTAGGAAACCTTTATTTTCCCCTATTGCAACCCGCTGTCTCAAGGAACATCCTCTTCTGTTTTCTTTAAAAGAAAAGGGTTAAACAAAATCTACGTCAGATCAAGGGGCACCAACAGTAAATGGGAAACTCTAATATTGCCTCAGATCTAGTGCAACGGACACTGAGAAGTAGCCCAGCAGGAGCCTTCTAAACTGCACATAAACAGTATAGTCTTATATCCCAAACAGGATTGCATGTGTCATTAGCAGGTTTCTTGACTCACCTGAAGATGAATACACATCACCATACATTACAACCCTCACACAATGTTTAAATGATGTAAGAATTCTCAAACACCCTAAAGACTACACTACAGTGAAGTTTTACACTCTATATTCACCAATACTCATTTTCTAGGTACTTCCATAATAAATCAGAGTTGGATGACAATATTTTATCTATACTGAGTGAGTTACAATTGTATTCTTTTTTGTGTTTTATTTAAATACCTTTAATTGTGGGCATGTGATATTCATGTATTCATGATAGACCCAAATCTATTAGGTCTATTATTTCAAATGTTTCTTTTGCATATTTTAAAATCTTTTTGTATTTTGTATCCCACCAGAGCAAAAGCTACATTTAAGACACTATGTGACTGCACTCATGTATAATATAGATTCACAAAGACAGCAGGATACCAATGCATAGAGAACACAAAAGCTAAGATAATCAAAGTACAGTTGTCTGAAGAATAATTTCTCTATGAGCACAATAAATAGAGAGCATTGCCCTTTGTATAGCTGAGTAATAGCATTGTCTTAATGTACAATTATGTTTTACTATGAGAGACTGCCAACGATCCCAATTAGTGCCAACCATGGTAGCTTTTTTTTGTGATTGAGACATCTGTCTGCAGGAAAATGGGTGAGTGAACCAAAACACATTTCACTTTGCCTCCCTAACAACCATTAAATGGGAATGACATTAAATCACTATTGACCTGCACTGGATTCGATCCAAAAAACCTACAGTTTGTGTGAAAAGCTGCCTTTTCTGTTGCTAATTAATCCTGTTAAACTAAATATATTAATCAGGCACACAGAATGGGTGAAATATCAGGATTCTGAATGTATCTAAGAATTGGATATGCAATCAGATGCCAACCTTACATACTGGTTTATATAGAATCAGCTGATTAGGTGATTTAATATTTGCATGGTCCTTTTCTTGCTGAAAGCCCAATCCAGCCATTTAATAGAGTGATTCAGGACTACAGAAACACAGTGTAACTCACAGGTACAGAATCTGACAACTTAAGAAGTATGTTATTGGAGGTCTTGATACCGATTCTGAAACTGATCTGTGCTAAGTATGTTAACATAATCTAATTTATCTTATGTATAATATCTGGGAAACTGCTTTAAAACAATTCCCCTCAGTCTTATCAATGCCATTCTTTCTGTGATATCTTCAGGTGCCACTAAACCAATTTGTCACCAACCGGATAATGGACAGGCCACAAATCAGCAAGCTACAGAGAAGACCTGACAAGAGAGCTCAGTGTCACCACAGGAAAACATTTGTGTGCTCCCTGTCGAAGAGAGTTACCCCCTTTTTTAACTCATCTGCTGCCCCATTCTCCAGGGCCCTGGAGAACAAATTGCCCTCCTTTGCATCCTTTTCAGAGGCAGTGCAGCGCGCAAAGAATTGGTACTGAGCAGAAACACAAGGAACAGGGCCATAAAAATTCATCACTTTGGCCTCCTGACCTCACACTGCTGGGGTTCCAGACACACACCCGTCTCAGAATGAAGCACAGTCCTGGAGAGAGCAAATGAGCAGCTAGACTCGGCAAAAATTACTGACACACATACATACAGA